ATATTTATAAATATTAATTTATAAACTAATTTCAAACTACTAAATATAAGTATTAATTATTTTATTATCCATCCGTCTAACAATTACACCACCAACATAAAACATTTTATTTGTTAAAAAAATTCTATAACAAAATAAATTTCAAACACAAAAATTTATTTTATATTTTATAATTTAAACTATATTTAACTATATAACAAAAATTTTTAGTTAAAAAGAACCATCATATCAAAACACTCATTTCTTGTCATAGAGTTCTTATTTTTTAATTTCTTATTATTTAAATTGTAAAATAATTTCTTAAATTAATTTTTATAAATTGACCATAAAAAAAAGACAAAATTAATAAATAAGTGTCGCTTTCACTATCCCGTCGAGTTCCAAATAAACCATGTGTTTTGGCAGCTAATTTGAGTACTCGGTTGGGTCAGTCCTCGCTGGATCACGTGGAATCCCGTCCATGGCCAAAGCTTAACCCGCACACAACATTTAACCCCCAAAAACAAATTCACCCAAACATTCTCCTTCCTTCCCCCACCGATATAAAGGGGAAAGATTTTCGCGAATTCAGTATGTGTCCGATGTGGACAGCCTCTATTTTCCGATGCTTGCCGTCGTCTATTTTCCGGTGGCCGGACTTCAATTTCTCTCAGTTCAGCTTCGGCTGGAGCCCGCGGAGCCTCTTGCAGAGGTGGATGGAGTTCTCGATTGTGGATGATGTGTTCTGGATCTTTGTTACCGCGCTGGAGTCCTTAGCTCTAGCTGCGATGCTCTGTTTCTTCCTTGTGTTCTGTGGATGTTCCATTTGATTGATTGATGTATACTTGTTTCCTGAATGTTCCATTAAGTTTTAGTGACTCGAAATCACCATAATTCATAGATTACAATTGATTCAATTTCTTCCACCATATTTTCTTCTAATTTTTCTCCCAATTATGGATATTTTCTGATTTTTTATGCAATTTTTCATGAACCCTTTTTTTTTTTCCTTGTTGGAACTTGAAGGAGACCAAGTTCAATATAAGATTAAGCACGTTAATAATGATATATTTATGGTCAAAGAGGTTATTTGTTTTGTGCAAATAATGTTGAGTAGGAGACGTTTGTGAATTTTCTACCTCAAAATATGGGCATACAATAGATAATAAGGGGAGAGAAGTAATGATTTGGAAAACCTTTTCTAGGCCCATAAAGAGAGACGACTTTGGACCAAGTCACTTAAAAAAGGTTGATAATGTCTTTTTATTTTAATGAAAATAGGCAATGGAAAAAGGTTGAGAACGTTGATTTGGATCAAACAGAGCCTCACTTAAACTGCTTGTTTTGTTGTTCGTTCAATAAGCCTGATTTTGTTTAGGCTTCTTTAATAAAAGATTTCTTGTTTTATAGGAACATACTGCATTACATTATAAACCAAAAATTTTTAGATAAAACTTATTTGCAATATCAAGGGCTCTAATAATATATTAATGTACAATACTTTTTTAATTTTTATAATAAGTTAAGTTCGAGTTTACATAAATCTGAATATAACATGAGTATCTAATTTAGAACTAATTTGGATTGAGTAATCTATATTATGTTTAAGCTCACAACGTTTATTTTAAACTTTTTGATGTGAAATTGTCCACTGAATAGACCCTTCTCATGCTCGACATAGATTTCGGGAGTACTTGTACTAGCACAACCCTTGCTTTTTGATTGATGTTAATGAAACTAGTTGGAAAAGCTTGTCTAGAGTACTAATAAATAAGTGCATTGTTCAGAATGTTCTAAACTTGAAGATACATTTTAAATACAACTACTCTTTTTAATGGGTAGCATAGTGCTTGTAAATGTCAGATTGGTGCCTTACAGAACTTCCAGCCAATGCAAAGAACAGAAGCACCAAATTTTGTATTTGTAATGTAAGTTTCATTTGGCCGTTCTTGCTGCTTTTTTTGCCAGTGTAATCCAAAGCCAATTCCCAATTTGCAAGAAAAAGAGAAAAGAGAATTTCCAAGTGATTCTCTTTTTCATTCTTCTTTATCTCCCCATAGTCCCATACTCTTAGTTTTAGCTTTTTCACACACCAAGGCTCCGGATAAGATACTTTGAGGTGAGAAACCAGGACGAGAAAGCGACACTATCTGGCCTGCACAGTCTGGTTTTGAAATAAAAATATCGAACTCAAAAGTTTAGGACTCTTTTTAATATTCCAAACATGTCTTGTTTTGTCCATATCTCCCTTATTTATCATTTGAAAATATCTGTCATCAAGCATTATTAGTGTCCATACCGATTCCATATTAATATTAATTAATATTGATTTAAAGTATTGCTAATAATGCCAAAAAAGTATCATTCAATCAAATTGTATCTTCTGTGTTTTTGGTTTTAGTTTCTTAGCATAGCAGTCACTTATGCTTAAACAATAATAGTTCTCCATGTATATATTCTTTTATTCTTGTTTCATATTTCGTGTGGGACTTTTATTACATTTAGCATGGAGACCTCCAACACTTATCAGTTATGATCCAAATAAATAAAAGAAAATCCAATTCAATGATAACTAGTTATATGCCTACAATTTTCTGATTTTCTTTCTCTCCTTGCTATAACTTTTCTGTCCTAATCCCAATCCAATTTCAAACATTTCTTTAGCCAAGATGAGGAACATCATCTCTTTACTTCTGCTTCAAGCCGCTTTCTCTTCCATTTTCCTTCCCTCAGCTCATGGAGCCAACACCATCATCCAACCAACCTGCAAGAAGACACCCTTTTATGATCTCTGTGTCTCCGTTCTCCAAACAGACTCTCGAAGCGCAACTGCAGATGTTCAGGGGCTAGCAGTTGTAGCAGCAGACAAGCTAGCGGGAAAATCCACAGCCACACTGAAACAGATCACGTCCTTAGCTAAAAAGGATCCGCGATATAAAGCATGTCTTGAATCGTACAACATCGTTGTCAAGTATGACATGCAGGAGATTCTTCAGGCTGTCAGTGGGGACCCAAAATTCGCAGAGCAAGGTGCTTCCGATGTTGCTACTGAAGCTGATACTTGTGGGAAGAGCATTCAGTCTTTCAAGTCGGTTGTTGCTGATAGCAACAAGTTTGTGCATGACTTTTCTCTTGTAGTTGTGGCTATTGTTAGGTTGTTACTCTGAATGACTGAATCTGAAATGTATTGTCACTGTTTTAAATAACCCCAAATTCAGTTGTTACTCTTCTCCTCTCCTTCCCTTCAGAACTGAAAACTTCAATTTATCCTCCTCTCAAATTCTACACCACATCCAATATTGGATTAATCCAATGTGATGATGATTTAATTAATCAAATATGCAAGACTAAAAACCATCCTCTCTCATCTCTGAAATTAAACCCTCCACCACCACCAGCACTTTGGACATCAAAGACCAATATTTGCAATCATTATTGGTAAGAAAACATTTATTACAAGAGGAAAAGCAACTTCAACATTACGGTATAAGCTACAAACAACTTTCATGATTCTGGATCAATACAGATTCACAGTACAAAATAGACATAAAAGAGAAAAAACACAATAGAGATAATAAGATCAATTATCAGTGTGAATGTGAACTCCGATGGCAATCAGGAAGATGGTGATGACGCCGAAGTAGATAAGAGCGTGAACAAGGATAGAGGCGCCGCTGGTATGCATGTTGCCGAACTCAATCACCTTCCCCTTGGCCGGAATCTGAAACAATAACCCCGGCGTCAGCAGCACAAACAGCAAGGTCGCCACCAGCACCGGACCCCAATCCGCCGACATAGCCTCTTTATCTTCTGTTTTCTCAGAGAAGAAATGGAATGAAGAAGGAAGAAGATCTGAAGATGCGCAAAAGGTTTTGGATAGATCCGAAAAAGTAAAGAAGAAAAAGTGGGGAGTGAGTGGAGGTGGAAAAAGTAGGACGGGGACCAACTAATAAAGCTGCTTTGAGGTGGATTGGCACACAAGAGGAACGTGTGAGCAACGGTCAAGGGTTTCTCGGGATATATAATGCTAAAATTGAAATTCGAAAACTTAAAAATACAAAATAAGTATTTTTTTGGGTTTATTGATTTAAAAAATATAAAAATAATTGTAAAAATATTTAAATATTTTAAATTAATTTTATTTTTATATTAGTTTATTAAAAATATTTAATTAATTTTATAATATTTTAAAATTTTAGTTATTATAATTTGAATTAAAAATTCACAATCTCATAAAAAAATTAATGAAATTATTTTTTACTAAAAATATTTAAAAAATATGATGCAAATCAAAATATATCAAATTATATAATCATAATTATTAAATAAAAAAATTTAATACTAAATAATTTTTATTAAATAATTTTTATTTTATAATTTAATACAATCTTAATTATAAATAAATAAAATAAAGGATGAAAATATTTTACAATTAGAGTAAGCGCGTCCTACAAAGTCTTCGACTCTATAATTGAGGTAGAGTAAGGTGGAAGGATCATTTCAGTTGGGACCCACCTCTTGACTATAGTCCACACTCAACAGTGATTATTAGAGGAGCTCACATGGGATGTGGGGGCTTTGATTTACTCACTCACCTAAAAA